TTCCTACCATGACACTGTCGGCTGTGAAAATGGCTTATTGAATTCGGTGACGTCACACACAAACACTGGCTCCAGATTGGGGCGTTCACATTATTTGCAGCCACCGTAGTGCTACTAAATCCTACACACTGGACCTTTAAATTAAATGACATTGATTTACTTTAGTTTGTTCTATTTGTTCTTTGATTTTTTTTTTAATACAACGTTACATTAAAGTGGCTACATGCTGACTATTTCTGTTAGATAAATTGGACAAAATGTAGCAATAGAGAGCCAAAAGTCTGAAGCCTTTCATTCAATGCAAAAACTACAGTAGGTGACTGGTGAACAAACCTCCAGAGAGGAGGAACTGCTGTAAAGGCAGTGTGTGTTTAATTTAGTTTGTTTGCACTTCAGAGCACACAACTGCTCAGCACGACTATAAACAAATTAAACCAAGCTATATACATGTGTGGCCTCTGGTATGCCTCTGGGATTGTCAGAGCTGGACCACGTTTTCCATTAGCCCCGATGCTCCTCATCCCAAACACATATTTACACATTCAGCTGAAGGTTTTCTCCTTCACTCTACTGATAAAGATACTTCACCAACTTATCGCAGAGTGCCTTTGTTCACAGGCTGTATTGGACAAGATTCCACTCTTTACTCACTGGAAGAACTAGCGCATTCATCCATATCAGTGCCGAGGGCATTTTTCTTCCTTTGTACATGTAGGGCCTATATTGCTGGCAACAGTCACAGGTTATAAATATGTGAAATTGTCCTTGAAGAGTTGCTGCTCTTTTTGTCTGTCTCTACAGGAAGTTAGCGTGGCCCAGGCAGGCTCCGAGCATCCCTTCAGCAGTCTGCTTTGCCATGCTGGGAGCCTGTCAGAGTGGCTCACTGTCAAACTGCCCAGCCCCGCTGAGTCAAGCTGACCATGAACTAGCCAGACCAGCCGCACTGGCCTGATGTTCGGTGTCTGGTGTTCACATTCTTGTTAGGTGCTAGAGAAGTGTTGCCAGTCTAGCCTGTTTGAGGACTCAGCTGATAGATAAAGCCATAACCGGCGCAGCCACAAAGGACACGGGCCAACTGAGACTTTACCTACGTCGATGAATGGTGACTTCTTTATTTCATATAATGTGTCTGGTGTACTGAACATTTAGGGGAAAACTGACCTTCTCACATGTGGTTGCATATCATATCTCATGGTGTCACTTGGTGTTTCTACATGAAGTGAAAGTTTTGCCTAATTATAATTAATATAATTATTAGAATATTTTAGGAGTTGACTGTATTGTTCACCATATGATGGGACAGTCAACTAAAATGACATGAACAGACACATTATTTAGAATCTTTTTACACACGTGAATAATTTAAAAGGGTTGGAAAGGAGATTAAAGCTGTTTATGTGTGAAGCTACGTATATTGTTTCCACCCCCCCCAAAAAAAAAGAAAAATACACGCCAAACTCCATTCAAAAATCTGTCAATTTAAGGCGGCATGGCTCATCGACAGGTGTAACATGACTTTGTCGGGTTTTGGCAGCCAAATCAGCTCAGTAACACAATATTTCACCTGGCAGAACATATTTCAACATATTACCAACTCCACACTACTCATCTCTGGAAGCAAAGCCAATTTGGTGACACGTTTCAATTTTGATCAACTTTTGATTGATGTTGTACCTTTTAAGTTTGCCGAATTAAAGGGTGCATCCTTCTGTTTCGATACAAGGCTTGGCATACATTTCCCAACCCCTGTCCTCTTTCAGGACACTGGACCACATTAAAGGGCACAAGTTTGAACGGAGTTTTGCGCGTGCCGCTGCCTCTCTCTCCCCCCAATGTCCTTACCTTGCCTGACAGTTTTCAACCTGACGGGACCTTTGCAGTTCTTTATTACTGTCTGAATGTCATACAAAGGTAATCCGGAAATCGAGAGGTTCTCCACCTCCAGCAGCAGTTCCCCTTCAGTTAAGTTTCCACTTTTGTAAACCACGACATCCTCGTTAACTTGCCCGATGTAGGCGAACTCTCCGTTCTCCGCGCCGCCGCGCAGTGCCACATTCAAGTCACCACGGGCATTTTTAGAGACGGAGCACTCGTTCACTCTGGAGGTCCAGTGGTTTTTCTTTAGCACGGGTTTGGACATGGTGAACAGTTTATGAGCCCACACCAAAACAGTCTGGCTCTGCCACTGGGATAAGAAATAGTCAGGGCAGAAATGCCTCTCAGAAAGTAGACTTGTATCCGAGTGAAGCGCAGCAAACTTTGTTTCTCTTCCACAGAAACATGAGTGCCTCTGACAGTGTTGTCCCGCCGCTCTCTCCGGGTGACAAATCAAGCCATTCCCTTGTGCTCTGAACTTGCTCCTTACTGTGTGTGTGTTGCTTCCATCATTTTCTTAACATCCCTGCAGTTTAATCCTCCTTTATCGGTGTCATCTCACATCTGCCACGGTCCCACTCACGTCTCCGGTCCACTTATTAAATCCTCTGAGTTGTTCTGTAACTCACTCTAAATGGCTGTTTTCTTCTCTTTTGTCCGGTTAACAACGAGTCCTCCCTCCTCTCTCCGTATCCAGCCGTGAGACTTTCTCGGTGTTTGAGACCGCGCTCGGCCCGTGAACCAGGTACGACGCTCTCGTGCACTCTGGGCTCTGCTCTGACGCTGGGAGTGTGTTGCTGTTCGTGCTACATTCAAGTGCAGTGGGAAAGTTTCTGATGAGTTCACATGAACGAGCCAACGACCATGTCAGTGTGTAACAATAGATACAAGTGGAAATGTTCCGTAATCCCTGACGTGTGATCTCATTGTATGTGATCAAACAACATATAATATTTATGCATCTTTTTATTTTAATTTCTGAACTTACTTTGATTTTAAAAAATTCTAATTTTAACTTCAGTCCACTTATAAAACTAATTCTTATTTAGCCATGTTTTGAATCAGATACATTTACACGGTATTTGTCTGAATGACAGCTACTTAAAAAACAACAACATAGATTCTTAAACGCTCTGACAACAATACATAACCAATCCATCAATTTAATTGTATTATAATCACTATATGTGATGTAATTTTATTATTATTATCATCTCACTTTTTTTCACACCGCTGCCTACATGACAAATGAACACTTTTTTTAGAGCAACTGCCAGAATAGTGCAACATTTCCATGGTACTGAGTTGGGACAAAATTATAAAGATTTGAATATCGGAGCCTTCAAAGAGCACTTGAAGGCAGCAATATTACAATGAGCGCATGCGTGCTGTTCAGAACAGAGAGGCCTGTCTTGGCTGCACCTTTTACATGAAAGACTTTTACATGAAATACTGGTGTCATTTTGTCATTATTTCATTCGATTCAAGTTATTACATTTAAATACAAATCTTATTAAAATTCACTTGTTAAATATAAAATGTATTGTCAGACGTTCCTATTGCAAATATTTGCTTCTCTGTGGAGATTTTTATCAAGTAATTGTGATTATTTGAGCTGATACTCAAGCTAAATTAGTTTTTTCACTCAACAGACATGTTATGATGATTCTGACAGACATGCTTATTTGATAATGACCTAGTCAACCACAGGTTATACTTGTGATCCTGCCTTTCAGGATTCCTGCATTTCAGGTTAGACAGGCAGCACACCATGTTTTCATGTACGGGTGAAACCTATTCTTGTCTGCTCCTAAGTGTGTGTTTGTGTGTATGTATATGTTTGTCCCTGATACAGAAAGATACAGAAATGTCGACAGAATTAGTTGTATCCCTTACATCATATTTTGTGAATGAACAAGCTGCAGTAGGCTTTGCTTCTTTTTCCCAGAGATACAATTTCAGATCTTAATGGACGAAAACTTGGCAACATTATCAGTCTCATAAAAAATTATGATCATCTTTAATTACCACAGATTCTTGCTTTCTCTACACTCTACGATGGGAGAAAGAGACAATTGGTGAGTCAAAAAGGAGAATGAGAGAAAGAAAAGACAAACGGCAATAACTGTAGAGCATGTTTATTCTCCAACAAATAATAAAGCGTGACAATTATATAGATAGACACTGGCCTAAGACAGCAGGGATGAATACACTGCTTGATGGGATCAGATGGGCCAGGCCTCTCACCTAGGGAACAGTAGATGAGCTTTTCCCAACCTAAAAATAACAGTGAAAGTACTCTTGGTCTCTTGGGAGTAAAAACCATTGGCCTGGATGGGAAGGGAAATAGCAAGTGCACTTTTAAGCTGAAAAGGTACAACTTTCCCTTATCTCCATCCTTTATCAACTGTTCATCCATCAAATCCATGTTTAATATGTATACAGTTCATTGCACTCCCCTCCAAGGGCAATTTTCTTTGCAGGCAATTGATGAACAATAAACGAGATATAGAAAAGTACTTAAAACATAACGCAAGACACAAGCTTCGTAAATTATGAACATCTTTATTCATCTACAGAGCACCATTAAACTAAACAGCAGTAACACTGCACTTCTAACTATCCTATAAAAAATACATCAACCGGAGGCAAGCTATTAAAAAGTACAAGAAACAAAAGAGTTCCTTAGCCTGTGTGAGCTATCCTTCAGTGGTGTGAACCTTCTGATAAAAGGGAATCCATATCTCTGTAACTGTCATAACATTTTATTCATGGTCTCCAGATGATGAATCATACTGGTTGGATTGGCTTTTCTTTTGTGCCACCAGCAGGTGACAATTTTCATATAATAAGTGAAATATCTTAACATCTACTCGAGGACTTTGCACACATTATATAGACATAGCTAGCCAGATCATTGTGAGCATGTTAGTGTGCTTATGTTAAAATTTAGCTCAAAGCACTGCTGTGCCTAAGTTCAGTTCAAGCAACAACCCCCCTGGCTGGCAAATTAAGCCAACACGAAAATAACAAAAACTGCAGTCCCTCAAATGGCCACTTGAGGCTGGCTACAGAAATGAGTCAATCTCCATAAGGTCTATATTACAATGCCCAGCATTACAGTAGAAATAAACATGTTTTCAGCATTGTACAAAAACGGTTTTGTTCTCTATGGCTAAACTACCCATTCATATCAACTGTCAAGTAAACTGTTAGTCGGTGAGAACAGTTGTAGCAGATGCAGTGACCTTGGCTGGGACCAAACACAGACATTGTCAGAAGTCAGGTGATTTACAGCGGCTCCTACCAGGACTAGATACCACAGGTTCAGGCAGGGACAGGAGAGGCATAAAGGGAGAGAAGCGAGTTAGGAGAGAGCTGTTTTGGAAGCAACTGTTAACGTTATATCATCCATTGCATTGCTAAGTCAGTGAGTATTTGTTTTTGTCTAGCTGGAAGTTATTTATTCTGTGTTTTGAACAACGAGACTTGTGTGTGTTAAAATGTTGAAATAAATTGACCAAATGTTCAGTCTCATTGCAGGGCAACACATTCAGATTTATTACCACTTTTTCCGATATAACTTAACAGGCGTCTGTTGTATGACAACTGGTTAACTATTGGCTTTAACCAGTAAACTACCAGTCGATTAGGAAAATCTTTAGTCGAAGACAGCCCTAGAATTTTTATATAACTCAACCATCATTTAAATTTTATTGAGGCTTAAAGTTATGCATAATTAAGAGCATGGCTGCTTTGAGGGATAGTTGAATCCAGCCCGCCTCAGCTCTACCCACACTCCACGTCTTTGCCATTTTTGGATTAGCTAGAAGCCAACGGAGTCAGGACTGCCAAGACGGCGATGGCCAGAGCCGACTACATTGAGCTTCACATTGGCTACGTCCATTTTTAAATATACAATATATCTTGTTTTTAATTCCTGTACCTTTCTGGGAGCGGGTAAATTCTTCTCCTGGTTTGGGATCACTGATAAAGATATTAGAAGTCCTACCTTGACTGACTCACCAGTAATAGACTAATTACACATTTCTAGCAGTTTTCTCTGGTTTAATACATAACCTTAATATAAGTTTTATTCTCCAAGTAATGAATTCCACTGTTAGTGGCTTGAGGGCTGATTCACAAGGGTAGAGGACTTTTACACTTGAAGACTGGGTTTAATGCGTGTGTGTTTGAATATGTATATGTGCCAGTCACTTCCATCGTGACCTCCAGTGAAGGGGTGTCACCCAGCTCCTCTGCCAGCTTCCTGTCACACAGTGTCACCCAAATCAGATCGACAGAGGAAGACACACTGCCACAGGCCCAACATTTCCTATTCCCTTTCCAGCCATCCATCTGTCTGTATGTGTCAACATTTTCTTGCTAGCATTTTCTGCCTCCCTAAATTTCACTGTCATGTTCTCAGGCACACATTAATGAATGCAAATCTCTTCATGTGCATTCAGCAAATATGCACACAGCCTCAGCTGCATGTTGTGTTTTATCCACATGAGTCAACCAAATTGCATGCAATACTACAAGTATAGTTGACGTTACAATCAAAATGCTGTCTTTTTACGACCATGCATAGTTTATATGTAATATATCTATGGTCACATGTGTAATATTATATGGCACTATAGGATCTACATATTAAAGACCCATTGAATATGTAATAAATGTCAGCATCAATTCTGAGGACTAATATAGAAAAGTCAGGACCTTGTCGTGCATTAAAGCAGGGCTTTCACATTATCACTTTCTGCCATTGTGCCGCTGTGTTATGACAGCATATGTAATGAGGAAGACTTGGATAAGAATGGTTTGTTTATCATAAACTATTATTAGCCACCATTTCCATTCACTCTGCCTGATGTGCCTGGTGGCACCGCTGACAAGTAATGACAGAGTGAACTTAATGGCCAACAGTAATAATGTAGCCTTCAAATCTGACAGCTGCGCTCGGATGACTTTGGTGCTACACCCTGGCAGTCCTCCACCATTAGTAGCTTTCATGATGTACACAGTGGCTGAGCCATCCATCACTTCTGATTTCAAGTTTTGGAATGGGATGTTAGCATTATAGACACATCAGCTTCTGTATTTGCAAGTAGTTAAGAGCCCACTTGTGATGTACTTTCACCATAAGTCCACACTGCCCAAGTGCCTGTCAAGATTGCAAACAAGTGGAAGATTTTCAAAATACACTGGGACACGCTTGGTTGAAGAAGTCACCTCGTCACTCACACAAATACGTGACTGTATCGCTGTTGCTCACATGATTTTATGTTTTATTTTTAACCAGGGATGTCAAAATCGGGTATTGGGTCTGATGCTGTGTGTGCACATGTTCTCATATTGGTCATCATAAAACTACTCCAATAATGCAGTCAATACCACTTTAACAGGAGCGTGACATTACGTAACCTCGCAATAGTTGAGCTGTTAGGCGGAGGAAAAGCAGTGTCAGCAGTTTGGAGACATTTAAAACAACTTTTATATTTGGTGTGAAAAAGTATAAGTAATATTGATGCATCCATCATTTTCACATAAATTATGATAAAGTACATGACACAAAAAAATAACAACAAACAATCATTAAGGAGCTCATTGAGTAATATATGAAGTATTTACATGGAGTTAGGAAAGCTTTCTAGGCATGCTAACGCCATGGCTCTAGGGATTGCACTCTTTGTGTCAACCACCTTGGTCCAGACAGAAATATCTCATCAAGTAGTAGATGGATTGGCACAAAAGTTTGTACATTCAT